CCACAAATCTCCATCAACTGCAAGATGCTATCCTATCAATATGGGCCAACATTTCTAAAGAATGCTTTCAGCACCTTGTTGAATCAATGCCATGTAAAATTAAGGCAGTTCTGAAGGCGAAAGGGGGTCAAACACCGTATTAGTATGGTGTTCCTAATAATCCTTTAGGTGAGTGTATATGTATGAGTATGAGGGTATGAGTGTGAAAATGTATATATGTATATGTCAGTATCTGTGTACATGTCACATTGCCAGCAAAGACAAAGGCAGGGGCAGGCATAAGGGCAAATAAAATGGGGTTTATTTAGAACTGAAAAGGCAAACAAAAGGTAGACCACGTGGGGGCAAACAAAGGTAGAGCAAACACCAGTGAAAAGCACAGGAGCACACACTGGGACGACGCTAATGACCGGACTGGGGAGCATAGGACTTGGAAGCACTCTTGTACATCACTAATGAGGAAACAGACGAGGGGCAGCTGGAGTGAGGCACACGAGGGCTGAAACGACAGGTAAGACAAATTAGGTACAGGTGTGCAGAGGTGGAAATTTCAGATCCATAAAGTAAAAATCCAGTCCAAGATTTTGCTTCAACCAAGCAGCTGAGTACTCTGTGTCTGTGACTGTTCATGCTCAAATGGTTGGTTGAAACAAAATCTTGGACTGGATTTTTACTTTCTGAACCTGAAATTTCCATCTCTGCAGATGTGGCTTGTTAGGAAAGAACAAGGGGGCAGGAGTGCAGGGCATGACAGTTTCCTCTCCCCAACGTGTGCACTCCAGACATAAAAGGTAGACCAGGGAGGGGACACTCAGGGACCAAACACCAGGACAAGGGACAAGAGGCATACAACACCAGAGTAAACGACAGACTAAGTGCAGGACTGGACATGATAGAACAGGGCCAAACATCACATCGAGACCCACACACAAGACATATACCCAAACAGGAACCAGGACAGACAAGACATCACCAGGGTCAGGAAAACGGACATGAATGGGGCCAGGGACCACAGGAACATCATCTAAATGAACACAGAACCAACCACAGGATGTCACTGGAGAACTCGAAACACACACACACACACACACACACGCACACACACACACACACCAGGATAGAACTGCCCTATGAAGGAGCCACTGAGACAGGGACAGATTGACACGGGAGGATCAAATAGGGCACAAGACCAGACATGAGACATAACCCATAACCAAGGGAATCAAACAAACGGGATGACACTAGGGACCGCACAAACACCAGACAGAACAGACACTCAAACAAAGACAGGGCAGACAGGTGCAGGGACAACCAGAGTGGGTACAGACATGGACAAAGGCAATATAGGTTATGGGCCAGGGAAGAACAGAGGCAGGACAGGACTGAAATGGGGCAGGAGGGAACAGAGCTAAGCTAGGGGGTCCTCTGGACCTCCGGGAAGTGGGGTGTTGACCCTGGGATATGAGCCTCCCTGAACTTCGGGAAGCCAGCAGTACCAGTCAGAGCCAAGGGGATGGTAGGGCTGAGGCCGAGAGGTGCTACGGGAGCTGCAGGGCGGGGGGTGCCACCAGGACTGCAGGGCTGGGACCTAAGGTTGAAGGGGAACCAGCAGGGCTGGGACCTGAGGGTGAAGGGGAACCAGCAGGGCTGGAACCTGAGGGTGAAGGGGAATGTGCACGGCGAGAACAAGGACAGGGGCAGGAACAGGAATTGGAGGGGCCTGCTGGACAGG